ATCAGTTATTTCAGATTCAGTTTGGAGAATATTTTGAAGTTTCAAATCTTTTGCTTCAGGAGTTATAGGTTTTGTTCATTTCAGACCATGACTTTGACACTTTGGTTCATGGATTGATTCCCCAAATACCTAAGTTTTCAGTTTCAATTTATTAGTTGTTCATATTTTGCACTTGTTTGAGGCTCATTCGTTGATTTAATTCAAGCTCTCAGTTTTGCAGATTTTCTCAGTTAAGTGATGCCTTTATTGAGTTTGAGGTTATGGACAGAGAGGTTCAACAAATGTTTCCTGACCTGTTGGAAATGACCTTATTATTTTGAGAACCTATTATGTAGAAATGGCTAACTGGTAAGCTGTATTACCACTGTTACTCATAATTTGGAGGAGGTGAACTCATTATCATGAGAAGATCATAGAAACATTTCCAAAAGGATAGATAAAAGAATGCTACAACTAAAAAAAGAGTTGGCAGCAGATGCTTTTAAATGAGGAGTTCACAGTGGGAATGCAGTTTGGTGCAGCCACTGTGGAAAACAGTATGGAGATTCCTCAAAAGACTAGGGATAGACTTACCATGTGACCCAGTAATCCCACTTCTGGGCATGTATCCAGAAGGAACCCTACTTCAAAATGACACCTGCACCCCAATGTTCATAGCAGCACTATTTACAATAGCCAAGACATGGAAACAGCCTAAATGTCCATCAACAGATGACTGGATAAAGAAGATGTGGTATATTTATATAATGGAATACTATTTAGCCATAAAAACCAACAACATAAAGCCATTTGCAGCAACATAGATGTTCCTGGAGAATGTCATTCTAAGTGAAGTAAGCCAGAAAGAGAAAGAAAAATACCACATGAGATAGCTCATATGTGGAATCTAAAAAAAAAAAAAAAAGAACACAAATGCAAAACAGAAACAGACTCATAGACATAGACTACAAACTTGTGGTTGCCAAGGGAGGGGTGGGAAAGGGATAGACTGGGAGTTCAAAATTTGTAGATACTGACAGTCTTATGTAGAACAGATAAACAAGATTATGCTGTATAGCACAGGGAAATATATACAAGATCTTGTGGTAGCTCACAGAAAAAAATGTGACAGTGAATATATGTATGTTCATGTAGAACTGAAAAATTGGGCTCTGCACTGAAATTTGACACATTATTGTAAAATGACTATAACTCAATAAAAAATGTTAAATAAAATAAAATAAGGAGTTCACAAAAGAAAGGGAGAAAACTACAAAGAATAAGAAGTGAGAAGTGGCCTGCCTAAAAAAAGGTATCACAATGAAGAAGTATTTATGTCTTGGAAAATAAGTAGATCAAAATTAATTAGAACTCATTGAACTTACCTGAGCAAGAGGCTTATTCTCAAATAGCGTTTCATGTTGAAAGAATTTGTCCAGCCCATGCTCTTTGGTAATATGGTCAGACTCATCAGAGAAGAGGACTGCATCCCCATCAAAGGCCACACGGAGCTGTGTGTCACAATAAGCCATGTCTTTTGCTCCATCGAACATTGTTGCAGAGGCGATTCCTGGCAGAACATTGGGATTGATTAATACTCTTCTCAGGATCATGAATTTTAGTGTCTACTATGAAAAAAAAAAAAGTCCTCCCAGACCTTGAATTTCCTCTCTAGCTATTCTCTGAAAATGACTCAACTCCTCTTCACAACCACACATCTCAAAACAGTTGTCTTTGTACTGCCTCCGTTTCTATAAGGGATGGGAAAGTGTGAAATAGGTTGTAGGATAAGCACTGAACATGCCCACCTCGAAGAAGGTCGAAGCTCTAAAAGACAAACTTGAGGGCTGCCACTTACGGAGACACCTTAGCAGAAAATCCAACAATAACATAAACCACGTAACCATATGTGAAGCCCAATGGAAGGAAACGCTCTTGCAGACCTCTTTATTAACCAGAGAGAGAAGACCAAACTAATACCTTCTTGTATCGCTTCTTGTACTTTTTCAGAATCCGCAGAAAGATACAAGTTGGTAAGATACGCCTTCAAATATCCAATGGGGCTTTTTCCACCAGTCAGACAGAAGCGGTCAATTAGTAAGCCTATTATCAGGCAAACAAGACTTTGTTATGTCAGAGAGTAAAAACCATATACTTACTATAAATGCAAGTGAAAGTTACCTTAGGAATAACTGAGTCCCTATTGAGATTTTAGAATTAGGCCCAATATTGAAAAATGTCTCAGCTATTTTATATAATAGTGGATCTGTTTGGTTATGGTAGTTTATGGTCCAGATACATCCAGGTAGGCCATGCCAGTTTACTCTCACAACAACTGTTCTGGCAGGCTTTATTATCCTCGTTACAGAAAAGGAAACTGAGACACAAAGGCTTGTCTAAGCCCACTGGTTCACATCAACTCTTGTCTAGTCTAGGACAGTGCATTTTCCCTTCAGCTACAGCATCCTCACCTGTTGAGAGGGCCAGTTCGGACATGGTCTGTTTTTAAGTACCATTTCTGTATTTCTTTAGTAACAATACAGTAGTAATAACAAGTAGTGATAGGATTTAAACTATTTTATAAAAACAACAAATGGCCTGAAATTGTCTCTTGACTTGAAATTTTAAATACAATTAGCAGACTAAACATTAATATACCGTTAAATGTCTTTCAAATCAACAACAATAAAAAATACTAGACAAATGTGATATTTGGTGAGAGGTTTATAAAATAGGCACCCACATACACTATGAATGAAAGTATAGATTGGTACAAGCTATCTAGAAAGTAATTTGATATTTGTTGATAAAACTATCAATAGCTATTAAGAGGTTTATACCTTTTGACCTGTGTTTCCTTTTTTGAAGAGTTTATCCTAAGGGAATAATCTGAAACTCTGTTAAAGATTTATGTAGAAAGGTCTCAGCACAGGATTATTTATAAAAGCAAAACATGGTTCAGTGATGTGAGAATAGCTAAAGTGTAACACTGTCCATAAGGATATCATGTACCCATTCAGAGTGTTTTTTGGATATATGATAAACTGGGTAGCTGCAGATGATATAAAGCAGAATTTTGAGTCCAGTCAGTTGTTTGAGTCTCGTCACTTGTTTATCTTCTGCATGGACCAAGAGACTGGATACGGTCTCTCAGCAGTAGAAGTGGAAGTGTTTGCTCGGTATTGACAAAATACTGTCACTTTTTCACGTAAGCCAACATTGGGCCTAAGTGGCACCAAAGTGAACCATACTATTAATTTAATGATCAGAAATTATTTGGTGGCACTGGGGGCTTCAGAAATCATTAAAACATCATCCCTCTTCTCAGGGAGATCACAGTGCACTGAGGAGCCAGTCATGTAAATAGAAAATTATAACAAAGACCATAGCAAAGAGTGAGACAAGTTGCCTTTAGCACCCAGAGGAGGGAAGTAAGTAACTCTTCCAGGTAAAAAGTTGTTAATCCCTCAGCAAGGCTGCATAAGATTGGGCTTAATGTGTTCATTAACAATTAATAAATAAATAGCCATAGTTTCTTTTTGCCACAGGCCTCAATGGGCTCAGTGTGGTGAGGGGCAGATAGACCTAAATCACCTACTAAATCAAATAAGACAGTGTTTTGTAAAAATAATAGCTGTCCTTTATTGAGTGACTGTGCCACTCATCTGTGCTAAACCTTTTGTATATGTTGTCTTTTCATAGCATAGTACTCTGAAGATGGCATTTTTGAAAGGCAGACATATTTTCAACTGTCTCAGTAAGACATCAGCCTTATTAGCATAATATAATAAACTCATAACTTTGTAATACAAATTGACTGTATGTAAATATGCCCAGTGAAAACCTAGAATTTAAATATACCAAATGTAAACCTTATTTTGACTTGACATACCTGTAAGACTGGATATTTCACTTAGAAAATAGGTTAAAGGTCCCCATGTAAGAAGTCAGGTAATTCCCTAACAGGGAAAGTGGGGACTTAAAGTCTCCAATGCCTGATGGAACTGCTATGAAGAGACAGAACCGATCACATTTTCCTTGTAAAGTAATAAAGATAGTTTTGCCGGCATGAGTATGGATTTGATGGGGGGAAGGGAGCAGCCGGGGAGAGTCAGATGTTAAGAGTAGAAAGGAGAGGTAAAAACCTTTAAACCTTTAACATGCATTTGTGGTGAGCAAGAAGTTTGATCACCCAGAACAAGGCTCTGGGTTGACGGCTCCTTGAAGTCAAGTTCAGAAGTGAAAAACATAAAACAGAGAAATATATTGCAGGGCCTGGGATTAAGACTTTGAAATTCACACTTGACAAGTTAAGTCCAGTGCTTTGAGCCCAACTCTGTGCCGAAGTTAAAAATGAACATGGCCTCTCTTGCTCTGACATAGGCAAATAAACATTCCTCACGCAGAAGGGGGTGTCAGTATCAAAGACACTGCATTAGTTAGGCCACAGTTAGCAAAATAACATGGCTTCTCTCTTCCAGAGCAGCGAGCTGTTCTTCCACATGGTATTTATTTTACTTACCATAGTGATTGACGCTGTTTATAAGCCGCACTCCCACTTGGGCATGGTTATTAGTCATCAGTACAATATCAAATAGGTCCTGTTCATCAGGATACAGCTCACGGAGTCTAGCATTGACATGCTGCAGTGCCTGAAGGTTACAAACGTGAATGTGCGTAAAGAGGGCCAGGCAAGATGGGCATTGGGAAACTGGAGAGAAGGGATCACATTGGTATCGAATTCAAGCCTTGAAGACTCTTCACTGAGAGACTGTGGCTTCTTTAAGACAGGGTTATGGCATTCATTTCTGTATTTTCAGCCCCTTATGCAAAGGACCTAAATTAATGTTTACTGAAAGATGGGTAATGTTTGTTGAAAATTGCTATATTTGGTTTACTGGAATTATTTCAGTGGGGTAGATAGCTAGGATCAGGCTAACCCTTTTATGGTTTTGTCTGTTTTTGTGTTTGATTCACAAAATCTGTCTTTCTTGATCATCTGATGATTATTTTTTACTGTGAAAAGTATAGGCTTCTCCATGAATTTACATGTTATCCTTGCACAGAAGCCATGCTAATGGTCTCCGTATTGCTCCAGTTTTAGTAGATATGCTGCCAAAGCGAGCGATCTGTCTGTTGTTTAAACATGAGTCTTTAGATTAGGTTTGTGGTTTCCTCCCATGCTGCCACTAGGCCCTAAAACTACTTTATCCTCACAACTAGTGGAGGTGTCATTTGTTTCTGCCTGGTTATGATGTTATTGTATAATATTTGTTTAAGTTATATAGGGGATCAGAGCTGTAAGTACTATACATTTCAGTGTAAGTTCCGAGAACCTTACTTTCTCTGTTAAAGTCATGCCCCCTAACTGCCCAAGAGCATCTTGACTTTCTTAATATGCTGTGTTTGGGGCAAGAGCAGCTAAACTGAATTTCATCTCATTTTATTACGGTGTTTTATTTCTACTGCTTGGAATTGTAAGCTCATTATTGCTTCTGGTTACCACTCCTTCTATGGAGGGAACAAAACTTTCTGTTACAGGTCTCAGGATTAGGACTCCACTTGGGGAAGCTCAACATTTCAAATTTGGGGCTGCAGTCTTTTCCTCAACAGTGTGGAAGCTTCTTTGAAAGTGTAAACTGATCTGAGGTTGACTTGAAAAGGGCAAGAAAGACAGGGGTGGACTAGGAATTATAAGGAAACCTGGATGAGATCCCAAGTGTTGGCATGGGTCTTTCCCTGCCATCCAGAGTCCTGGAGGGCCAAAGACAGCTTTCAGAGTACCTTGACAAAGCGGAACGCGGGCCCTGGGGTCAGGACGACATTCTCATTATTAAGCTGATATTCCATGTACTTTTCCAGACCCTCTTCCTCGTAGATTTTCCTGCCGTCCACCATGTTGAAGAGCGCCCGGGATGACACAGCGATGGTGATGGCATGCTTGGGTTTGGGCTGCAGAGAGGGACATCAACAAGAGGACAGTCACACAGACCCGAAGGGATCAGGAATGGGGCTCAGCACAGGACAGAGTGGGAAGAAAGCAGTTGGGTCCCTGCTTGGAGGACTGGGATGCTGGAGACAGCCAAGGGCTCGGACCTGGAGGTGGCAGTGCAAAGGGAGAGGTTTAGGGAGGAGAAGCAAAGGGCTGGGCCAGACTTCCCTAGACACATGGAAACGAGGCTCAGCCTCGTGGCTGCGTGAAGGGACAACCCCGGCACCAGGAAAGGCGGGTCCTGCTCACCGGCCGGGGGCGAGAGCAGCTCGGTGTCTTCTCATACAGCGTTTTCACGGATGCCCAATAGGCATTGTCCTCGTCCTCCTCTTCCTCTAGCTGCCTGGCCAGGTCGGACATACAGTCGCGGTCCAGCTGGGAAGGGTAGAGCATCCTGCGCTGGGCATAGGGCTTCCATTCGGTAGGGGGCGTGCGAGGATACTCCCGCTGCTGCGTATCTCGGGAGTCCCGGGACTCCCGCTTGTCTCGGGACTCTCGGCTTTCCCGCCCCCCGGCATGAGACCAGGCGTCGGAATTCTCAGTGAGCTTGGTGCTGCGCCGGGACGCGGACGGGAGCTGGAGCTCGGGCGGCGTGGAAGGACGGGAGTCGAGCGGCATGGTTGGCGTGGGCGGCGAGGGCTGCGCTGACAGCGGCTGCGGCGACTCTTGATGGCTAGGGGAGGTGGATGAAGTCCCGGAGCTTGTGGAGCTATTGGGGGGCTGGAGCAAGAAAGTGGGCTTCTGAGTTCGATGCTCGCCCAGGGTCCCTGTCCTCATCTCTGGCCAGCTGGAGTCAAGGAGCTACTCCCTTCTCTCTGTGCCATTCCTAGCCCTTAGAAGGATCCTGGTTCATCTCAGCTCCTTTAAGTAGGGCTTAAAGGGGCTCAGATGCTTCAAATATTAGACATTTCTGTTACAGGGACACAGAGACAGACTGCTTTTATTTTCCCCCAGTTGTCCCATCAGCACCTCACACTTTTTTATTTGTTTTCTGTTTGAGTAGATAGGGTGGGGGACCTCTTCCTTGCCCTTAGGTAACTAGCAAAGGTGTCACTTTCTTCTGATAAACCTGCTCAGCCAGAGACCTCCAGGTAGGACAGAGGGCTTAAGTAAGGGACCTTGCTTGGCACTGCCTCCTTCTGTGACCTCCAGTTAACTCGGTGAGCAGCTAGACTGCAAGTTCCCACCAGAAGGCTCTACAAAGCACCTCGGGGGTATCTGCCTGCACATTTGCCCTGTAATTAATGCAGTGAGTGCTGGGAAGGTCTGTGGGCTGGAAAATCAGGTGTCTCCCCATCACCTTCAGAGCTTCCTGTGCCAGTGAAGCTCAGCTGGAGAGAATCATCTTCCTAAATAGGAAGGAATGGTTCTGGAGAAAGGACTCCTTCACTAAGGTGTGGGATAGATGGTTAAGCATCCGTGTATTATTTCAGTTTTTATGATTGTTTCACATGTTTCAAAAGGCATGTTAGGTTAGGTTACTGTGCCAGTCCTCACAGGGACAGATAGTGGGAACACATGTTCTCTCAGTAGCTGGGCCTGTGTCACTCTCTGAATCCAAAAACTCATTCTCACAACAAACTTTTTCTTCTTTCGTGGTTGGGCCTAGCTAAGGACTCAGAGCATCACACAATCTAGCACTCTTGGACAATCTATCTCCTTTGTTGACCTTTCCAGCCCCTCTTCTGTCTCTTGGGTACTCAATGAATAGTTTTTGAATGTATGAAGGAAGGAAGGAGAAATGATAAGAGTTTAATCATTAAATGTGCAGTTTTTAGACCTAGAGACCCTGGGTTTTAATCGAGCTCTATGAGCATTACTACTGTGACATCTTAGGCAAGTTACCTATTTCAGTTTTCTTACTCTGGGGGGCTTAACTTGTGGGTTAAGTTAGCTAAACCGTATAAAGTACATAGAACAGGGCCTGGCACATGGAAAGCATCAAGAAATGTTGTTGTTGTTGTTGTTGTTGTTGTTATTATTACTATTATTATTATTATTATTATTCCATCGTGTGCTCCTCCCTTGCATCCCCATCTCTACCTTAAGACTGTTGTTCCTGCTTCTGGGTTCGTCTACTGATGGAGCTTTGGTGGATGGGCTCCGAGAAGTTCGAGACCACTGATTTCGGACTAGGTACCCTCGAGACCCTGTCTTCGGCAAAGATAATTCTTGTGATCCCTTTTAAGAAGAGAAGAAACCCAGAGGTGTAATGCCCTGCCACCCACCCCTTCTATGCATATGCTTATGAAATAGCCATGTCAGGCTAAATATAGCCATGCTCAATGACATGTTTCCTGCCCTCTATTCAACCCTGGCCCTTGTATAGTGTTCTAGCTCTGGCCCAATCCTAACTTCTGTGAGGAGCAGTAAAGTGGGAATCCACCCAGAAGAGCATCCAAAATCAAGAAATAAGTCTGATATCTCATAGTTTGTTCACCTGTGACTCCTCTTATACAAAACGTAATAGAGTTGAACATTTTTCCTCCTCTTTCCCCACTTCTTTCCTTAAGAATGAGCCTATTAGCAGATGCTAAAAAGACAGAGTCAACATTTTTGACCAGACTACAAAGAGGAGGGCAGCTGGTCCCTAAACAAGGCTGCAGCAGGGCTCCAAGGCAGCGGCCTAAGAGGGAATAGCGCCCTCTAGCATTCCCTTTGGGAGGAACAGGATGGAGGAGACCACGGAGAGTCGAGTGGAAGGGTTTCTATTCCCGTGTCCTTCCCCTCACCCAGATTGCCCTGCGGCTCCCCTCCAAAATCAGTAGTTTGATCTCTGCTCACCCTGATCGTGGTGATCTGCAGGCCCTGCTCCCACAACAGGCACATGTGAATATAAATACGTATTGTGCGGCAGGGGCCAGGAAGTACTTTTCCCTCAGCTGCACAAAAGCAGCGTCTACACGACGAGTGACCCCGTATGGGACAACATCTCAGCAAGTGATTTGGATTGACTGCACGCCTCATCTGAAAGATTGTGCAGAAAATGGTCAACGCGATGGCCAGACTCCCCTCCCCTCCCCGACTTGAACAAAGACCAGTCTCCTCCCATAGGCTGAGCAGGGATTCTACACCACATATTCTACATGAGCATGGGGAGGGGAAGGCAGGGACCAGCTTCTAGTTTTTCCTTAACCTCTCCATGGGGACGTTAGCTCTCCCTTAATACAAATCTCCATAGCTCAGTCTTTTCTCCCCAAACTCCCCTGCCCCCTAATATTTTTTATGATACTTTCTGCTCTTTAATTTTCTCACCAATGATAAAGTGAACAGCTTACCTGAGTGCTCAGACGGACTCCAGATTTCTCAGAATCCTTTCTAGATTTGTCTGTTTCTAGGCTGTCTTTTGAGTACCTCGATCCAGTCTCACTCTTAATATAGGAACAAAGAATGTTCATTAATTTTTAATCCAGAGACATTAGAAATCTGGGGTTTGGGGAATAAAAGGATACATAAAAATTACAACTTGTCTCTTTGTCAATATCAAAGAAATATACATTTTAGACATTATTTTTCCCTTGTTTTAACAAGCATTAGTTAAAATAACACATTTCGGAAAAGTAGATAAATGCATTTTTAATATAGAAATTTGTTGGTTCATGGATTTGAAGCATGAGGCATTTATCATTTGAAAAATGATAACACGGGAAATGCTAGGGGAGAATTTTGCAGGGGTCAGCAGGACTTGGATTTTAAATGTGAAGTTGATCACACAGAATGACTTTTTTTTCCTCCATTACTCTGAAGATTGCTACTTATGGAACTTTTTCATTTGCTATATAGAGTTAAAACTTCTCCTGTTTTCTTAATAAACCATAGTTTCTGTGAATCTAGGGCTCATCAATAATAGTTTGATTTTTAAAATCAAGGACTTTAATCTTACACAGATCAATCAACAGGTGTCTTCTATTCTTATTATCTAACTATTCAGCATCTAGAGTGATAAGAGTTTTCTTATTAACAGATTAGTAGGGAAGACCATGTAGGGAGGCACAGGAAGATGACTTATTTCATGGATACCTATTCAAATATTTGTTTTCATTTTCAATTGCAGGAAATACCATTGTATTGGCTCACTGTTTGTATCGTTTCATGCCAATTCAGTAGTGATAATGCAGTCAAGATTAGTGTT